AGCTCGCCATGGGGTATGTTGCCATTTCTCTCCCTTAGATATCTTTTGGTTTGTCTTGTCCTTCCATTTCTCTGAAGTGGATGGGAGGCCCCTCAGTGAGGGCTGGGGTGTTTTGTTTGTTTGTTTTTATTTGTTTGGTGTGCTCATAGGGGTAGTCTGAGCTCGCTGCACACAGCTGCTGGGCAGAGCTTACTCCATGTCATCATCAGCCTCACCAGGGCAGAATGGGTACCCTCCCTACAGTCTGGTCAAAATCATGCAAAGTAATGCACTAACTCATGAGTATCCATTACTAAAGAAAGCAGAAGAATACTCCAAATGTCACCCAGGCCTCATACAGATAACCGTGAAAAGGCCTCTGTGGTAGATTGCAACATGGCCACAAAGGCCTCCCTTTCTTGTATTCTCGCCTCTTTGCTACCCCTCCCATGAAGAAATCAGTTTCTCACATTTGACTTTTGTACATTGATCTTGTATACTGTGATCTTATTAAGCTGAGTTATTAGTTCTAATGTATTTTGTTATAGATTCATTAGGATTTTTGATGTAGACAGTCATGTCATCTACAAATAAAGACATTCTTACTTTTAAAAAGTATTTTTCTCCACTCCATTCTGGGTGTGACTGTGTGGCTTGTTTTGACCGTTGGGATATTAGTAAACATAGTACAAGTAGACACTGGAAAAGTGCTTGCACACTGAGGCTGGCTGACCCCTGCTGCTCCAGATCCATGGGATCACCATGAAAACAAACTTGAAATTATTTCTCCACTTAGAGGAGAAATGAGGTCCACACTCTAGCAGACATCCTGTTACCCATTAGATGTGTGAGTCAGGCTTCTCTTAGACCAACCATTTGGGCCAAAGGAGACCTGCAGAAAAACCGCCCAGCTAAGCCCAGCCCAAATTGCCAGCCCACAGAGTTGTGAACTAATAACGTGCTATGCTGGTCAATCCAATTGAAGGCCAGATTCTCCCCACTGCTATATCAATTTGCTCCATGCTCAGGTAATGATGATAACATGGCTACATAAGAAAACTGCTAGTGAAATCACAGAAACTCTGTGCAAGGGTGCTATACCAGTTCCCTCCTCCTATATCTCCAGGTCAGCCTTCTCATTGTTTGAATGCCTCTGATTAAAAAAAAAAAAAAAGGAAAGAGGAGAGTATGTGATGAAAATTGCTAACCAGGAAAAGCAAAAGTAGGAACTGTGCTGGTTATTGATTTTGAAGTCAAATTTGCCAGGTTAAGCCTACATCCAAGTTGGGAATTGCATAGGTGAGTGGAGAGTACAGAGATTAGAGAAGAGATAGCCTAGAGGCATAGTATGTATATGAGCCATGAATGGTGTCTGTCTCAATTTTAACAGCCTTTTTGCTTCCTATGTCTTCAAAAATTGCACTGTTCACATGGGGCAGCAAGTCAGCCCCAGCACATCCTTGCTTCTGCCTCTTTTTCTCCGATCTAATTCCCTGGTCCCCAAGAGTTTTCCAGTTCATCTTTTGGCAGAAACATCAGTTTTCCTCAAGTGCAGATAACAGGCCTTAGACTACAACCCAGCTTGGAACTTGGTAAGTCAAGTTCTGTTTAATGAAAGGCATAAATAAAGGCAGGAATTGAATTCAAATATATTTTCTTGAATGCAAGTAGCTGATTTGTTTATGAGGTTTATAGTTTTATTAATTACTATAACAATATTTACTTATAGATTTGATTTAGGTGTGGCTCTTGATATTGTGAACACAAAATCAACATTAGTTTCCTTTATTAAGAACCCCACAGCCTAATGGGAGGGTTCAAACTGTGTGTGTGTGTGTGTGTGTGTGTGTGTGTGTGTGTGTCTGTGTGTGTGTGTGTGCATGTGGAGAGAGAGATATAGATACAAAAACTAAGAATGCATAACGGCCCAGCCCAGGGAGCACCATAGATGAGGGAACTAACCATATGTATGTGCATAAGTTGAGTGAGGAGTCGGGGAAAACTTCAACAGAAAGTGATGCTCAACCAGATTCTTGAAGAAAAGGAGAAGATTCCACTAGGCAGATCTGGAGACACAAAAGAGCCCTATGCATTTAGGGAACAATAAATACTTAGTTTTCCCAAAGCATAGGGTATATTGCTGTGATGAAGGAAAGATGGTATGGAGGGAATAATGAGAGATGAGGCTGGAAAAGTGGGCAGAAGTTTCTGGATCTTGAATAATCTTGAATAGCAGTTGAGGTGCTGTAGGTGTTTAATTGTGTTTTCCAAAGTTCTTGTGTTGGAAAGTTAATCACCGTTGTAACAGTACTAAGAGGTGGGATCTTTTAGAAGAGATCAGGCCATGAGGGCTCTACCCTCAAAATGGATTAACACCATTATCACGGGAGTGGGTTCATTATAAAAGGGTAAGTTCAGCTCCCTTTTGCCTCTCTCTCACTCTGTCTTGCTCTTCCACCTTCCATCATGGGATGATGCAGCAATAAGGCCCTCACAAGATGCTGGCCCTGATCTTGCATTTCCCAGCCCCCAGAACTATAAGCTGACAAATTTCTGTTCATCATAAATAACTCAGTCTGTGGTATTCTGTTATAGCAGCGCAAAACAGACTAAGATGATAGGGAACTTAAAATTTATCTTGTATATGATAGGGAGCGAGTGAAGAATTTTAAACAGAAGATAAATGCATTCTGATTAGTCATTTTGAAAAATAACCAATGGCAAAACATTGGTGAATTGGAGGGAGGAAGATTGCTTGGGGAGTTAGTGTAGCAGTCTAGGCAAACGTAGATGAATTATAATGCCAGTGGACATGAAAGAGGAAAGGACCAACAGCAGGTCCAGGTGAAGGAGGAAGACAAATAAGCCTGAGATATCCTGCTCAGGTACTTGGTTGAAGTAACCTGATGTAGCAGAGCTGTATGTATGGGTGAGCTTTGTGTTGTTAAACAAAAGAATAATTTTAATATTACAATTTGACACATCCATCAACCTCCTATGGGGCACCCCAAAGAGGTAGAATATTTCAAAGGAGAGAAGCAGTTAGGGCATAGAGTAGATAATAGTTTAGAATGGGCTAAGTACAAAGCTGAATGCCAGTAGCGTGAAGGACAGTCAAGGGCCTTCTTTCGGGAACTCCAACCTAAAATAGCAGTCTGGGCTAGGCTGGCTGGATTGGCAGGCCCATGCCCTGTGGCCGGGTTGGGGTGCCATGCCTGTGAACATGCTGGATGGATCCCCAGATGACCCTGGCCTGTAGTTAGCTCTTATAACTACATTTGGCTGTGGGTGATTTCCAAAGTAGCAGCAATGACAGCTGACAGCTTTGGAGGTATGTTTATTTTCTGTAAAGAAAAAGTGCCCATAAGAAGTACACCTCCCAAGTGGTTGTTCCTCCTGGTTGGACTAAGAGCTTCTGTGGCTGAGAATATGCCTATGGTTTTGTAAAGCCATTAAAAATTAATCACTTTTTTCTTGAGTCAAAATGTCTTGAATCTCTTGGGTAATTTAGAAGAGTCAGTGTAAGTTCTACCCCTGGGAAATATGTCAAAGAAAAGCCTGCTTGCATGCTTTAGTTCATTAGAGTATCTTTTCCCCTTCTGTATATCACAAAAGTAAATTCCAGTACAAGGATTCAAAGGCAGAGAAGGAACCTAACCATAACAATCAGATTAGAAATAAATGCCCCCTTTGAGGATCTGAAGTTGGAATACAAGATTACACTAAGTTTGAGACTCTCTGATTAAAAATTCTTGCTGTCATCTACAGCTCACAAGGCCAAGCATCTGGTGCTAAGTTTGCTTTACTGTACAGTAACTAGGGAAGACATTGAGAGATTGCAGTAGTAGGGTTTTGTTTGTAAATTGAACTTTAGATATTGTATTTCATCCAGGGAACACTAGAGGGAGTAAGTCAGAGAGAGAAAAAAGGTTACAATGGGAATGAATGGGGAACGGAGAGGAGAACTGAAAAGAGGAAGGCGTTTTTTTGCATTTCGCTAAGGCAAAAAATTTTCCTTAGGCAGACACTAATATTTGTATTATGACCAAGTAACTTTATATTCAAAACCTTGTGTTAAAAAACTTTATGATATTCTGAGCCTGTTCAGAATCTAAAATAGGAGAGGAAAATTATTACTCTCTGACCAGAATCTGTATCCTGTCCATCTTAGGCATTTTATGAGCCAATATAATATAGCTCTACCTGCAATTTTTTTTTTTTTAATTTTAAAGGATACATTATTTGGATGAAAAACCTTTCACAGATATTGGATTATTTTTTCTTTACAGTACTAGTGGTCATAGTTACAGTTCTCATGGAGAATAGTAATGATACTAGGCATTTTCAGACACTTGTAAGAATAAAATATGCTCTTCATAGATAATCTGAATTTGAAACCCTTTTCTCTCCATTTTCTCCATAATTCTTATGTATTAGCTCTACACTAAAACACCATTTTACAATCCAGAGATACTGAAGTTAACTGGTCCAATGTCATGCATATGCCAATGTAAATATGAACTGATATTTATTTTCTTGTTTCAAATGTCCAGCTCTTCATTTTCTTTGTGCCACTTGAAGATAAAGTTAGTGAAGACTAGAGTCTCATCACTGATTTTTCTAAAAAACTTGAACAATTAATTACTACAATCAGAAACAAATATCTCAAAATCTTAATGAGAGACTGATCAACCGATTATTAAAATATTTTACGGAATAATGAACTAAGGCTTTTATAAAATATTGTCCTTAAACCATAGCAGATTTTTAAAATGCAGCTGTTAAAAGCATGTGTGAATCCAAACGTAAGAAAAATCACAATAAAGCATGCTAAGTTAATAAGGATTTGTCCTTTTACAAACCTTGGGGTAGGCTCACCTGGACGTTAATGTCAAGAGAGAGAAACGACATTACAAACTTCCTAAGGCAGCGTCTGTTGGAAACGATCGGTGACACTGACAAGAAACACTCAGTTCTGAAATTTGGATTTGCATTTGTTAGCCATGCATTATCCTACTTACCTCTCAGGGTAGAACTTTTAATTTCAGAAAGTGCTGGCATGCATTACTGCACCCGTTATCAAAAGTCTTTGGCAGAAATGCCATTTATCCTTGTTGTGGTAATGAACAGATTTAAAACATTCTGGTGTCACCATCCCTGAAAAAGCACATTCATTTGAATATTTCTTCCACCGGCATAATGAAATATTTCTTGAAGGCACATGGGTGTAGAATACTATGGAGAGATATTGCTGGTGAATGACAGAACGTCTGGTTGATTTACATGAAACCCCAAGTGCTCATATGAGAATAGGATAGGTTTAGATTGACGAGCAAATGTGTAACCAGACTTCTGGCTGACAAATGGCAGAACTATGCCAGCACATTAGCTTCTCTGGAGAGAGACCAAAAGTGAAATGGGAGGATCAAGTTCATTCTATAAAGGACATTCAAACCTAGTGGATGGCAGTGTGGCTGGGATATTAAGCACTTATAGATATTAGTACCCCCAAATAGTATTGAGTGAGTTTACAGTTGAGCTGGCCAACTGTAAGCCAGTGGTTAAACTCTTATAAAGCATTGCCGTCTCCTGTGTGTGTATATTGACATTCCTTCAGGAGGATCCTGGTGTTTTCAAGATAAGTCTATTTTATTGGCAGCTTTGGTCACTAACTCTAAAAATGGATTGTTTGAGTAAACTAGAAACTGAAAATAACAACTGATGAGATTAGTGTAAAACGTGGTGCCAAGCATTTAGTGGTCCAGATTGAATTAGATTTATTCTGGCACAGCACAGCCGTGAACAGAAACATCCACACAGGCTTTGTCCAAAGGATGAAGAGTTTGGACCCATACTCTCTTTTACAGGCTGAGATTGAAAGTTCAGGATTTTGAGTATGCCTTCAAGGAAGTAACGCGATAGTAATAATAGATCCTCCTCAAGTTCCCATGGCGTGCCAGGCCCCCTGCTTGGCACTTACTGTACATTATTTCATTAGATTCTCACCACTACACTGTGGGTAGGATTCATGATGTCTGCTTTATAAATGACCCTGAGGTTCAGAGACATTGGATGACTTGTCCAAGGCCATATAAGTAGGTGACCAAATCGTGATTTAAACTCCAGTCTGACTCTTAAGCCCTTTCCATCATGTTACAATCCTTCCCAAGTGTCTGATGAACAGTACTCATTAACGTTCACCGCTTGCAAGCCCTTTGGTATTTGCAGAGCATTGAGGCAAGAACAACAGAGAGAGCCAAGAGTCCTGGGTTTGAATCCTGGCTCTACCATTTATTTACTCACTGTGTGATCTTGGAAAAAGTTCTAACCTTTATGGGCTGTCTCCTGATCTATAAAACTGTGTGTGTGTGTGTTGTGTGGTGGGCATTAGAAGGTTTATAAGCTACCTTTCATTTCTAACCTTTGATGATTTTGTGAGCTTTCAAGGGGCTTTTAATTTCCTGAAATTGAGGTGCAGTTTTGGTCTTTTGCTTTGTAAGTGAACTCAGCTGTGAGGAAACACTTCCATTTGAAATTCAAAAGCTGACTTAATTTCTGCCACAGAGACATCATTTCTCCCATCTGTAAAATTCATGTTTCTAAGTGGGTTGTCTCAACACAAACTACCTTTTATTTTCTTGGTGGGCAACTCCCCTGTGTACTGAATGTGGTGCTCTGCTCATAAGTGCCCCATAACAAGGGTTGTAGGACATGCTAGGAATACAAAGTGGTATACCATAATATTACCACAAAGGGATGTCGCTGAAGTTGGCTTTCATATGAAGGCAATAAATGTTACTTCCTGTAGGTTAGAAGACCAAATATGCATGGAGCTGCCTATTTTGGATGCTTTGGTTTATTTCTGTAAATTAATGAAATTTTATTTATCGCATGTCCCTCCTTATTTATAATTCTGTACAATATGCTGGCATCTCTGCAAATGGCTGTCTATGCTTACAGTGCACCACCCTTTGCTAGTTTGGCCTGCACCCATTCCTCCTGTTGATGGAAATGTATACATTGACTCTCTTGCCATGAACATTCATCGCCCACTGCTCTGCATTCTTGAAGATCAAATGACACGGGCCATGCCGTATGTGGGGAGCAATGTTTCAGAATTCCTTTGATGTTGCGCCTTGTGACAATGGCTAAATCCAGGCTTTTGCCATTTGACTGAATGCCAGATGTGTTAGCCTGAATTCCTATGATCTTATAGATAGATAGCTGGATGGAAAAATAAGATACAACCACTGCTAAAACCTATTTTCCAGGGCTAATTAAGGTAAAGTTTTGATTAATTGAAAAGTTAGTTGAACAGGATATTATTGCTAATTAGGAGCTAAGATATAACACTTAAAAAATTCATTTAATGTATACTTTGTGCCATCTATGTACATAGTGTTAAGTATTGAAAGAGGAACAAAAGTTCTTACAGTCTTTTCTATCCAAAGCACTTTTTGATTTTCTTCTACCAATTACTTCTGAAATTTTTTTTCTACTTGTTCTAGTCGTTTTTAAGGCTTTTTGTTGTTTCTGTTACCAAGATGTGATCATGCAGAATAGGCATTTTGAATCAATTTTTATTCATTTAACATTACAAGAAGTTAACCCAAGTATCATTCTGTCAAGTGTATATAACAGTGTGTTTAAACATTCCCTTGTTTGCTTAAAATTTGAGTTGTTTCCACTTGTTTTCCATGATAAAAATGCTATGAAGAAACACTTTCATATAAAGACAAATTTTCATCTGTGGAATTATTAGATCAAAGAGGACACTTTTAAATGGTCAATATTATCAATATATTAATTGCAATTGCTTTCCAAATGAGTAGTACCATTTTATACTGCTCTCATTGTGTGACCTTAAGTTTCTCCTTACTATCTTCATCAGCATTGGATTTTTCACTTATGCAACGGGGAAAGTTCTTTTGGAAAGAAAATGTAACACCCTCTATCTATTGAATTCGTGCAATAATCTTGCGAAGTCTACCGTTTACAGATGAATAGATACTGAGATGATTAATTGATTTGCCCAAGTTTATATAACTATTATCAGAGCTGGACCTTGATCTTGGTTCTTCTGAATCCAGCCTATTGTGTGTTTCCATTCGACCACAGCTGCCCCATAAGTAACAGGAATCGGCTAATGAGGCCCTCAAGTAAGCTTGAAGAAGCTCAGTGGTTGGTGTGTATAAAGATGGAATAAATGAGCAGGACTGTAAAGTAAAATGTCCAAATGGTTTTGTTTCTTTAAAAACCAAACATTTCCTCAAAAAGAGTGAATAACTTTGATTAATTCATACATGCTATGAATTAAAAAGGTTTTATTCATCCAATGCACATTAAAAAGGTTTTAAAAGAAAAAAAGTATGTTATTTAATGGTGGTTAGGTATTGGAGTATTTTAACTAAATTCAGGTATACATGAGTAATTCCAGTTGGAAGTTGTTCATGCATATCTGAAGGCAGAATGTGGCCTTTTGACTTTAGCCTATTAAACACAAGAAAATTCATAGTTAAAATTCCACTCTCAGCTCCCCAGCCAAGATGGGAATGGCCCCAACCATAAAACATGGTGGACAAGGCTGCCACCAGGCCCAATAATCTGGTGGCATTATAGAGTAGGGTAGGCAAACCACAGTAAATCAAGGCCTAGCCTTCATTTTTCAAAAAGCCGAATGGGTTAAAGGTGTGTGCATCATTCTTTACAGTGAGAAGGCAGACAGGTTTTGCAACATGCTAGAGGATGGTGTGTGGAGCAAATAACAAATGCCTCTTGGTCGGAGGTTGTTTGATCACTCCAGGTATCCATCTGGAGGGTCATCTTGAGAAAGGGACTTGGGGCCATGTGCTTTCTTATTCTTTGCAGGGAAGAAAAAGAGGAAAACCCAGTTTGGAGGCCCCAGTCTGTAAAATGGCAGGATCTGCCAGCCACAGAGTGTGGCTTTGGGCAGAGCAGTTTGTGCTTCCATTTATCTGGAGGTTCCTGGTGTGTAGAAGCCCCACCCCTGAGCACAACAGGAGGTCGAATAATGAGGATTGGCAAAACTCAGGAACGGGCTCACCTCCCTAGATTATGAAATCCCATTATCTAATCAGATCATCCCATAATGGACATTAAAAACAAACCAACCAAAGAAAAAAGAAAGAAAAAAAAAACCACCAGTATTTATTTTTCAAAGATTTGACTGTGACTGTGGATGGCAGAAAGAGTGTCTTGTTAACAGGACTCAATGTCTTTTAGAGAATTGCAAAGAAGCCTGGTGTCTTCAAGCATTCAGATGAGCTCCTCTAGAGGCCTTTACAGGGAGACGAAACTGCTTCAGTGCCTCCTTCAGGGCTGAGACCATGATTTGGATTCACCCTGGCTTAAAGGAGAAAAATTGGAAGCAGCAGGAGGCATCTGTGTAGAGAAGTAGTGAACATCTCCCTAGGTCCCTTGTTTTGTAACCAGATTTTAATTTTAATCAGTAAGGAATCCTGAAACAACAGTAACAGAAAGCAGTCTGGAAGTAGCTTTGATTACAAAACCGTACAGTCATGTCTCCCAGCCACCAAAGTATTTTCATAGCCATTTGCCCGAAAGGTCAGGCACTAAATAAGCATGTCGTCCGCTGCCTGGATCTGGGGTCTCGTTTTCCCGGAGGCATTAGAGGAAAGGCATGCAGAGCTCAGCTCCAGGGGTGCTGCTCCCCAGGCTAGTCTAAATGGCTCTTCTTTCTGACGTGACTAGAGTGTTTTCTGTCACCTCTAAACACTGCCTGCTGTGATAACATTCATTCCCCAGGCTCAGGTCGCCGTGACAGTCAGGAATGCTTGGAAGAGGCCAGAGTGGGACAAGATGGCTGCCCCGCCCAGCCCGCCGCTGGCCGGATGTGGAGCTGGGAGGAGCTGAACCTCATTTTGCCCCCTGTTGTCTTTGGAAGGCTTTCATTTGGGTTTTGACTGGGTGGTCCCTTAGGTCTGCTACTACATTCCAAGTATTTCCAAAACGTTCTGAGAAATGGTGGTTCAACTAAATGAACATATTCTCCTGACTAATGTGGGAAGCTGTGTGGCGCTGGCATTTCCTCCTTGACATTCCCCACTTTCGTTTCCTTTGAAGGCATTTAGAACAAGGCAGAATGTGTCAATTTGAATTCTAAGATTCCTGGTACAGTAGATTTTTTTTTTTTTTTTAACAGCTCCTATGGTTTAATGCTCAGTGGTTTCCAGCCTTTTTGGATGTCTCACTGGATTCAGTAAAAGGTTTTTAAGCAGATACTCCCAATACTTGTTATTTATTTGTAAATTATATACATGT